GGCTGCCCTCCTGCTCCTTCAGGCCAAGAAAGGCCAGATGTTCCTGTTTGATCCCCAAAAAACCCCATATCCACATGCCAAAGGGAATGGGGGAAGGTTCAGGGGACTTTCTTTCAGGTAGAGTTTGGTAGCATTAATAAATCAACAACAACCAACACCTCATGTTACAAACAAAGAAATAGGTTCTAAAGGAAATCCACTCAAAGGACTAGAAAAAAAATATTTAAGTCCTCACTGGCAGGTGTATAATTTTAAGCATATTTCTAACATTCCTTTGTTCCAATGGTATTTCCATGCTTTTTTACATCTTGCCTTTAAAAGATAACCTTTTACATATTTACATAATTTTTAATCCATCTCTGCCACCATTGTGACTGCCATGTCAATACATTTCAATGAAATGGACTTCATAAAACCCCAAAAACCCAGAGTAAAAACCCACAAAGAGAAACTTTATGTTGAAAATATCAGGAGTGCCAATTTACAAAGTGACACTAGGTTAAGAAGAAAATATATGAAAGTTCTGGTTTTGTTTCAGACAATTTCAGAGTTCTGAATATTTCTCCAAGCTTTGTTAGTCATTAATAACTGATATATGCATAAAATAATTGAACTCTTGCAGTCAACAAATAAGAATCTCATGCTGTTTAATTACAGGTATATTTTCCACCCTGTCAACTACTGGTAAATTGGCCTTGTACAAGGAAGACAGAAGAGATAAAACTCCATCAATCCTGAAAATTCTTACTGGTGGGTAGAGTGAAATTAGAGAGATAACACCACTTTCCAGTCATCTGCTTGATGATGTAAATGGATATTACTGAAGTGACTGACATGCAGGTATCATTAATGTTAATTACTTCTGTTCTCCCTGGGAATAAATTACTGTTTGAACTTTTCCCTGAATATATAAATTCATAAGATGGGATCTGAAGGACCACAAACAGAACATCAGTTAAAGGACACCACAAAGGCTGGAATGTTTCCTGTAAGATCTCAGTGTCCCCATTAAAAACACATGTCATATGCAGAATTATTTGGGGTGGAAAAGTCTTCTGAGATGGAGTCCAAGCTGTGCCCAGTTTCTCTACTGACCCCAGCTCAACATCCACTCATTCCTTGGACACCCACGGGGATAGAGACTCCAAACCTCCCTGGGCAGCCCCTTCCAGTCCTGGACAACCCTTTCCATGGGGAAATTCCTGCTGCTGTCCACCCTGAGCTCCCCTGGTCCCAGCCTGGGGCCGTTCCCTCTGCTCCTGTCCCTGTTCCTGGAGCAGAGCCTGACCCCCCGGCTGTCCCATCCTGGCAGGAGCTGTGCAGAGCCACAAGGTCTCCCCGAGCCTCCTTTTCTCCAAGCAAAATATGATCTCATAATAGCACCCAATCCATGTATTTTTGGCTGAATTATCAATTCAATTATCAATTAAAAAGCTGTTTCACTTGTTTGTTCTGACCTTCACACTCAACACTGAAAAGCAGAGCAAATCTCCACTGGAAACACCATGAAATTCTTGGCTTTCCCTTAAGGATGAATTGGAAATGGATGGAAATAAGTTGCTGGAATGAGAAAAGCATGAATTTCAATCTTTCTAACCCTATGAAGCAGGAGCTGTGGCTTTCTTGCCTGCCTACATTCACGGTAGGTATAACATTACCATAGAGCAGCACAGCCCTCCCTTCCCTAAAGGAATTCCATCTAGGGAAAGGTGGCATTCAGCTCTGGAAGAATCCTGCTAAGTGCCCATTTTTAAACTCATTTTTGTAACCCAAATCCTTCAGAATGGAAGGATTTTCTTGATTTTCAAGGAACAGACTTTGGGCAGTTTAGGAATTGCTCTCGTGCTCGGAAATGAAAGCACCGAGGCTCCCTCAACATCTCTCATCTTCTCAGTATTCCATAATTTGATGATGACTGGGAACAACCAGGAACTCTGCATTTACACTGCTCTTTTGAATCAATGAAATCATCACACGGGAATAGAAAGTTGCTGTAATTTAAGGGAATTCCTAATATTGGGGAAAGAGAAACTGGGAGGGAACTTACAATGGCGCGGACCCCATACTGCTTTTCCACCTTGTCCTTCAGCTGCCTGAAACACGCCTCCATCCTCTCGTGGAATGGCCTCAGGGCCTCTGTCACCTTCTCCCCGTGGATCCGGATGCCCTCGGCCAGGAATGGGATCTGGAAGGCAGAATTTGGCTTTCAAATTTGGCTCCACCCTGCCCAGCCCCTCCCGAGCCAAGGGACACAGCAACACTCCCACAGCAGGGAAAGAGCTCGTGAAGTAATAATAATATTAGTAATAAGAGCAAAAGTAATAGTAATTATCACACTAATAATAATAATAACAATAATAACAACAACAAAAATAAATAGCAATAACAATAATATTAAAAATGACAGAAATTATTATTACGATCACAGTGACCATCATCATTCCTTGCATGATGCACGACAGGATCTAAACCCCCATTCTCCAGGACTTCCCTTTTTTTCTGTTAAGCAAAGTCCTATACATGTAATTCAGTCCCAGTTCTGCTCAGAAATCCCATACTGGATTTATCCCACAGCACAAACCCTCCTGTGATATTCCACCCTCAAGCCCCCACGGATTCTGTACTTCGAAACACCAAACTGATGAATGATCAGTCTCACACCAGGTTATTAATATCAAATCCTTTCCCAGTTCCATGAGGATAATAAAACCCTGAAGAAGAAAATAGTTTATGTTTTCTTTAATAAATGCTCTTTCTAAAGCTGCAAATGAGCTCCATCCTTGGACAGATATATATTGCAGAGCAATATTTATTAATAAAACATACAGTTTTAGATACTATATAGTTCTCCTTAGAAAAAATATTCTATTTTCTCTGGGAAGAAAACAGAAGAGGGAAAAAATTGAATTGATTCTCTTTTGTAACTGAAAATAATCATTTATCTTCAAGGCTTCTGTCACAAAATATCCATGCCAGCACTGGATTATATAATTAGTTCCTAGTGTGGAGGTGTAGCTGACCTTTGGAAATGTTTTAAGAGAGACATTTTCATTCCCACAACTACCCAGACACACCATTAGAGTTTTCTACCTCCAGCTCAGGAAAAATATTTCCTCTTCCAGGTTTGTTTCAGCCCACACAGTGCTCTGATTCTAACTCAGATATTCTCTGCAGCAATCAAGCTAAGAGGCTTCTTCTTAATAATTCATAATTAAATCATAATACTGATTAAAACCAGATTTTTCTAATAAGACTGAGCAGCAATCATAAGGAGCAGCATTATCAGTAAGGAGAATAATAAATACACAGATGAATTACAGATTAACAGACTTGAGAAATCTTATCGAGATGATTCTCTGACATTTGGCACTATTTAAATGGACAGAGGTGCTTCTCCTAAAAGACTACAAAGAACAGTAATTTTTTTTTTAATGTAGTGGCGTTTTTTATAAGCATATGGATTTGCACTTGACAAAAATGAAACTGAAACCAGAAAGTTTTCCCTGCTCTCAGTAAGTAATTTCTAAATTTACATCATTACCAGTGACCCTCCTGTTTTGGAGGCATAAGTGGTCACTTGGCTCATTTATTTTAAAGAACTGTTGACATTGGAAATGGATTCTTTCTTAAAAAAATGCAATTACCAAGGTGAAGCATATGAGACCATTTCATGGGTAGAAAATTCACTGAAGAACCTGTCCTGGGGGTCAGCCACCTTCAGGTTGGAAAATCAAGAACAGGAAGCAAATGACATTATTTGTATGAAAAAAATGTGGGGGGAGACAGAAGGAGAAAAAGAAGAAGGAGAAGCAGAAGGACAAGAAGAAGAAAAGAAAGAAGAAAGAAGAAAGAAGAAAGAAGAAAGAAGAAAGAAGAAAGAAGAAAGAAGAAAGAAGAAAGAAGAAAGAAGAAAGAAGAAAGAAGAAAGAAAGAAGAAAGAAGAAAGAAGAAAGAAGAAAGAAAGAAGATGATGATGAAGATGATGAAGATGATGAAGAAGAAGAAGAAGAAAAACAAGAAAAAGAAGAAAAACAAGAAGAACAAGGAGAACAAGGAGAAGAACAAGGAGAAGGGGAAGAAGAAGGAAGAGAAGGAGAGGAAGGAGAGGAAGGAGAGGAAGGAGAGGAAGGAGAGGAAGGAGAGGAAGGAGAGGAAGGAGAGGTTTGTTAACCTTTTACAGAAGCTGAAATTCATGAATGTCTCACAGCTTTGCCACAGAAGAACGTGAGACTGCTGAGTCAGGATATTTGGCCTCCTTGTCCAAGACCACTTAATCCTTAAACATTTGTGAAGTGCAGGAAGAACCTTCCAGCTGTGTTATCATTTCTGTTTCACCTTCTTCTACCAACTTCCAAACTCCTCCCGTGTCTCCTTTCCAGACACAGGGAAATGTGCTGATGACCGACATGGAATTTTACATCTGTCAGAGGCAGAATTTTGCCACATTCAGGATATTCCTAATTAAGTTGGCCTTGGAGAAAGGGCATTTTCTTATTTAATAACTCTGTTCTTGGCTGATTTTAAAATTTTATAAAGTTCCACTGCAACTTGAAATGATTCCCTGATTTGTTCCCCCTTTTCATTTTTTTAAAAATCTCGATCTGCTTGGCTGAAAAGACTGAAAAAAATGACATTGATTTGAATTATTAAACTAATCTTTGAAAACAATCTTTCAGAGCAAGGGGATCATAAAATATGAACATAAAACCTGAGTCTGGTATGCAACAGTTCTTGCATCTCTGTAAGAGAACAAGGTTTTGATTTGCTGTGATATTTTTCTGTTTTGCTGTGCTGTAAATACTTCAGCTAAATTCAGAGTGACTAATGTCATCAATCATTCATTTCTCTGCCTTAATTTCAATCAATCATTTCATTATCTTCATGTTAAAATGAAAGATCAGCTTGAAATGGTGCAGTTGCATGGGAACATTTTTTGCCTAAGTTAGAAAAGCGCCAAGAAGGACAAAAATGGACATTGCTTTGCTAATGGAATTTATCAGAATTAATAAGAGACAGAAACAAAATGTACACTTGAAGTTCACAGGAATTATATAAATTATGAATTATGAATTCCACAGCAAAGTGGAGAAAGAGATAAGAAGATGAAAAAAAATGAATTTAACTGGTCAGCTGGTAATACAATTGTCAGGCTCCTATTTCATATACCCAGATGGATTTATACAGCAGGGAGAAAATTCCATGTGATTACAGAACTCCAAGCCCCACATTATTGAAGAATGAAATCTCCTTTTTGCTTTCCAGGATGAATTCAGCCCCTTCAAAGGCTTCCATACACATCCCTCTCCCAATATTTGGGAGCTGACTCCCACCAGGCTGGAAACTGAAGTAATTTGAGAGGAATTTTAAATTTTAGGTTCCCCTAAATGTGTATGAAACATCCAAGACAATTTAAAAGCACTGAACGGGCTTTTGGTGACACTTAATTTTCAGTTATAAAAATAATATTTGATCTCTTTTCTCTATTTTCCTGGTTCCTGTTGTTTTGGAAGTACAAAACTGATGGGAAATGATGTGTTTAAAAGCCTTGAATAATTACAATACATTGTGATCAGCTGCCATACCTATTTTCAAATTTTCATATTATTTTAAAACACAAGTGTCACCAAAGTGAGCCTTTGCTGAGGGAAAGTGTATTTGGAATTCATTTGAAGTATCACTCTCAGAGGCAAAGACACAGAGCTGACACCAAGGCAGTCTGCTGGGACCAAATTATTTTCCTCTATAAAACTTTAAGCTTATAAAATCTAATCTTTTCTAAAAGCTCGCAAGAAAATAAATAAAAAAATGCTTTTTCTTTCAGACCAGAAGAGTTTTTTACTTACTCAGAGTTTTAAGGCCTTCAGAGGATATTTTATTTTTAATTCTGTAGCTTTGGTTCTACTACCTCAAAGATTGAAATCTATGGAAATGTAAATTATTCCCTTTATTATAATGACAGAATTGAATATGAAAAGACAATGATTCACTTTGTTTTTTTGTGGGAAAAATAAAACACCTCTAAATCAACCTGGTATTTTTTTTTAGTTACCATAAAATTACATAGAGATCATAGAAAAATGTCCAGTATGTGACTATGGAACAAAACTGCAATTGTCTTCTGTTTGCCCTCAAAAATATTTTCTCATCTGATACAGATGGGAGATGGTCACTTAGTGTGTTTATATAAAAAAAAAAAAAAGAAACAAGCAAAAAGAAAATATCTTGATCATATTTGTTCTCTCCAAGTTTATCAAAATGAGCAATTATGTCAGATTTGAAAAGATGAACTTTAACTCAAGCTCCAAAACAGATTTAAATGGCAAAGAAATGTATCCAAGGTGAGGATAATGTCTGAATCTCCTCCAAAGTGACACCAAGCTGTCTTTCCACAGCAGCTGCCTCTGGCAAACCTGACTTCAAGTTTTTTTACCTGCCAAGCAATCAGATCCTTCAGCTTCTCAATCTTGTCATGATCCTCTGGATGCTCAAGCATGTATTTTTCAGTAAAAAAAGCCTAATTGAGAGAGAGAGAAATGAGCCATTATTTCAGAAAATGAAACATCTACTACCAGAAGAATGAGGTACAATGAAGATAAATTGATCATCTTAAAAATCCTGTGAAGTAACAGGAATTCCATAAGTGAAACTTAAGGAATCACGGAATCACACAATCACAGCCACAAACACAAAGTGAAACTTATGGAATCAAAGACTCACAGTGATTTGGGTTGGAAAGGACCTTAAATGCCACCCAGTGCCACCCCTGCCATGGCAGGGACACCTTCCACCATCCCAGGCTTCTCCAAACTCCAATGTCCAACCTGGCCTTGGTTGGACATTCAATAAATTCTATTCCTCAGGGATCCAGGGGCAGCCACAGCTGCTCTGGGAATTCCATCCCAGCCCCTCCCCACCCTGCCAGGGAACAATTCCCAATTCCCAATCTCCCATCCATCCCTGCCTCTGGCAGTGGGAGCCATTCCCTGGGTCCTGTCCCTCCATCCCTTGTCCCCATCCCTCTCCAGCTCTCCTGGAGCCCCTTCAGGCCCTGCAAGGGGCTCTGAGCTCTCCCCAAACCTTTTCCTCCTATCCAGGTGAACAATCCCAGCTCTCCCAGCCCTTCCTCCCAGCAGAGCTGCTCCATCCCTGCTCTGGCCTCTCTCTCCACATCCTCCCTGTGCTGGGCTGAGCTGAGGCCCAGCAGGGCAGGGAATGCTGGTGGAATTGAGGGAATGCTGGTGGAATTGAGGGAATGCTGGTGGAATTGAGGGAATGCTGGTGGAATTGAGGGAATGCCGGTGGAATTCAGGCAATGCTGGTGGAACTCAGGCAATGCTGGTGGCATTCAGGCAATGCTGGTGGAATTCAGGCAATGCCAGTGGAATTCGGGCAATGCTGGTGGAATTGAGGGAATGCCGGTGGAATTCAGGGAATGCTGGTGGAATTCAGGGAATGCTGGTGGAATTGAGGCAATGCTTGTGGAATTGAGGGAATGCTGGTGGAATTCAGGGAATGCTGGTGGAATTGAGGGAATGCTGGTGGAATTCAGGGAATGCTGGTGGAATTGAGGGAATGCTGGTGGAATTGAGGGAATGCTGGTGGAACTCAGGCAATGCTGGTGGAATTGAGGGAATGCTGGCGTTACCTTCTCGTAGTTGGCGAAGCCGCCCATGACCGCGGGATCCACGATGCCGTTGAGCAGCATGGACAGGGGGTTGATGGGCAGGTTGGGGTCGCTCAGATGCTGCTGCACCATATTGTTGATCTTGTCATTGGTCAGCTGCATGGTTTCTATGGCATTTTCCAGTGGGCTGATCTCCACCTAAAACCCAAACAAAAGGAGGTTTTCAAACCAGAGGCAGAGTTTTTAAACTGCTCAGGAAAACCCCATGGGTAGAAATGTTTCAGAAGCGAGGTTATTGGGAGATTTTTGACTGATAATTACCAGAAAGGGTGATTTCAGGCACTGAGGTGTTTGCTATCTCTGTGCTGCAGTAACTGATATGATGATGGCTATCAGTGCAGGAAGTTAACTGCATTTTGCTGCTGCAGGAGGGATTACATCCCAGCACAGCATCCAGAAAGACTCTGGCAGCAATCACGTGAGGTTTTTTGGAGGATTAGGAAGAACATCAGAGATTAAAGGTTGGTGAGTTTTAGCAGCACAAAGAAGATCCAGCTTAATGTAACAGTAAGAAAGAAATGATAACTTTAACGTGGATTTTCTGATGGAAAATGTAATCCTAAGCCGCTCAAAAATCAAGAAGATATTTTTGCAGTGATTATTTTGGTGTGTTTCCAAGGACATGGACTTGAATATGTTGATGAGATGACATCTAAACTATCTGCTGTGCTTTTTCCCAAGAGCTCACATTTTCTTAATCTGACCATCGAGAACTGAAGGGAGAAATTTTCTTTCTACCTGGACTTCAATGAAGAGTCTCCTCAGATGCCTTCATGGGGTGAATTTGCTCTTATGCCGTCTAAAACTTGCTTTATTTTAATTGACTGACCTCCAGCTACTTTTTACACATAGCTAACACGTCTTTCAAAAAGTTAATGTTGAAAAAAACAGTATTAAAATATTTTAAATATTAGAGAACGGGCTGAAAATCAGTCACTTGCAGGACCCAGAGTGTAGAGAGTCCTCACAGGAAGCCACAACCTGCTTGTATAAAAAAAAAATGATGTGGTAGGGAGAGGAAAGGAAGGTTAATTGAGGCCTGTGAGGAAAATGCAAGTGTATATTTGATTACAGCCTCATTTACATAAATGCTACATAAACAAAGCAGCACTTCTACCTGGCTATCAGTTGCTCACCCTGTTTCTGAGAACCACTTATAATCAAATCTCTTTAGTTGTTACTCTTACACCTGCCAGCTGATTACATCAAGGATGTTTTAATTAGCATTTTGAGCAGCCTGCCTGCTGCATGGCTCTGGAAGCAGGGAAGGAGCCTGGAGTCTCTGCTGGGAACAGGGAGCAGCCAGGCTCGGACAGAGCCCAGCCTGCCAGGGGGAATCTGGACTGGGGAGTGAAGCCACATCCAGCATCTGATTGGGCAAGAACTGCTGGGAACATCACAGGCTAAATTTAGGATTCTGTCACTTGTATTAATGGCCTTATAACTATGCAATAATGTGTTGATGAACCATTGCTTTTAAAGCTCTTGAGCATCTCCAGAAATTAGCACTCATTGAGCTGACAGCTTTTTGACTTTTCTGTAGCAGCAATCATGGCTTTCTTTCTCATTCTCCTTTCTTTTACTACTCTTGTAACACTCCCTCTAATTTTTTAAAAGCAGATGGAGAATTGCAGTTGCCATCTCACTACTACAAACTGGGCTTTGGAACCTGGTGAAAGCTATTTATAAGTGTAAATTCTGAGCCTTGTTCCCAGTGCCACTCTGGGCCCTCCTCACTCTATCCAGGGAAAACAGGAATTACATTCTCTTGAGACATTTGCACCAGTAAAAAACTCCAAGATAAAAGCAAAATAGAGATTAGCATTTGTGCTTTTTAAACTCAAGTGTGATTCAAAATCTGATTTCTAATTCCCTGGCTGGTCTCTCTCCCCTAGAACTTCTTGTGTCCAGCTAAAGCAAATCAGATACAGAATATGGAATGCTGGCCCCAGATTCCTGGCAGATAATGAACAGATTGCAATGGCTTAGGTAAAAGTACTCAGAAGGAATTTGAAAAGCCAGTAGATTTAAAGCAACTCTGCATGTTCTTACGGGTTATGTAACATAATACACTGCATTTATGAAATTACTCCATTCTCTCAGCACTGATTTGATGTAATCTCACCTCTCCCTTTAACGATATTCCAGCTCCATCAATAAAATATGAAACTTGCAGAGCTGCTGGAGTATCCTGGTGCTTAGCAAGGGATCAATAATATCTGTATCCATAATCACAATTTAGCATTACAGGGATGTAAACCCTGTGATCCTCCTTGCAGCATTTTAGCTGACAGAGATCTTGAGGAAAGTCAATACCCATTTTGTAGGAACTGTGCCAGAGGAGGTCACAAGTTATCTGTAGCAGTCTTCCCACACGTTATTAAGTTCCATTCTGCTATCATTTCTCAGCTCTGCAACTCACACAATCCTTGCTCCCAAAAGGCTGGTGGGATTCGTGCCCATTTGGATGCCAGGCAGAGCAGGAGGGGTGTACACCAAGTGCCTGTCAGGCTCTGCTCTCTGCTCATCAGGACTGGCATCAGATCTGCCAGCCTTTACAAACAGCACTTCTTGCCATCATGAAGATAAATACAATCTTCTCCATCAGGGTTATATTGAAACTACGAAATTCATTAAAAATTCAATGTGTTTTATTCAGCTGGCTGTTACTGTCACACATCACATTCATATTCTGTTACTATAGATACCATAGTAATTTTCTACATTACTTCTGTTCATCCAAATACAACTGTCCAACATAACCTCAATGGAGCAATGAAAAAGGTTTTAATTAATCATATGCAAATTGTTCTTTTCCTTTAAAAATAAGCCTCAAAAGAGAGATTTCAAAAATGCAGTAACAATGTTTTTATTGCTACTTAAAAATTACAGCTGCATAAGAATAATTTAATCTTAAAGGCGTTTAATGGATATGTCTTATCTAAACAGTCTAAATGGTTGAACAGAGAAATGAGTAATTTGGAGTTACTCTGTGAGGTTGCTGAGGGTATATTTAGCTAAATATGGAGAAGAAACAAAAACAACCTTTAACCACGAGTGGTAAAAAATGCAGACATACAATGCCTTTGATTATTGGGACATTTTGCATTAATGACAATCAAAATATCCAGATCCTCTTTGGTAAAGTTCAGGCTAGATCCGCTCGGATGGAGCAGGGTTTCCCTTCACCACCTCAGGTGTCCCTTCATTCTAGGCACCTGCTGAGAGACACAAATGCTTTCTAAAGGCTGAAGGCCTTGTAGGGTTTCCTTCCCTTTGGGAATGGAAAAGCATTGCCTGAGTCCCTCAGGATATGGCAGCTACAATCCCATGGATTCCTGGTCACAGATCTAAGCACAATCACTGAGACACACAGATGCTCCCTGGCTCTATAAAAACCCCATTTTTTTTTATACAATCTCAATACAGCCAAGCTGATCTTACCATGAAAACTGATTTGACTTCAAACCACCTGAGGATCCCTGGTAATTTATAGGCTGTCACATAGATGGTTCTCTCAATCCACATGTTCTGCAAAGGGAACACAAGTGTCACGTTATCAATGGACAGCTGGGACCCTGAGCAAAGCCCTAAAATATCATCAGCAGGACAAGGACCAAGGTATGGCAGATGTTCAGAGCCAGGGGGGAATTCCAAATGGAAGATGGAGCAGCACTGATTTAAATCTGGTATGTGACTGAGCAGGGAAGAACTGCTCCCTTTCTGAAGGAGAATACCACAGAAAGATCCCCTGGTTTTACTGGATGTTCATGGAATGGTTTGGGTTGAAAAGAACCTTAAACCCATCCAGTTCCAGGAGCAGGGACACCTTCCACTATCCCAACCCCCATCCAACCTGGCCTTGGGCACTTCCAGGGATCCAGGAGCAGCCACAGCTGCTCTGAGCATCCTGTGCCAGGGCCTCCTCACAGCACTCATTAAAAAAAAAAAAAGGAAAAAAAAAACAAAGGGTATTAGTGACAAAAAATTTTCAGATGCCTGACTGGAATCTTCACAGCAAGACAAGTTTCAGGTGTAACAATTTAAAATTCTTTCTCAGAAGAGCTGTTTTTACAAAATAAATACAGCTTTGGCCTTTTTTTTTTCCTATTGGTATAAATGAGAACATGATAAATTGGCTTAATTAACTTTCTATGAAAAATAATCCCTTTAAACCTAGAATTTATTTCTCAACAAGCAAAAGATAATGAATGGCTCAGATGCTCAAAATAGAGGGGGATAAACAAGCAAACCAAAAGTGGTTTGTTTTCTTCATAATTTCGTACTGCAAATTCGTTGTCTGGGTTTTTCTCTCCTCTTCGAACAGGACGTGAATACTCAAAGCGTTGGACTTCATTCACCCTGTAGAAACTGAAAAGGCAAAAAAATAATGGAATCACAGAATAGGTTGGGCTGGAAGTGACCTCAAATATCATGCAGTTCCAAGCCCCAAATGCACAATGAAAATCAAATGCTGTCTGTTTAGAAATTGATACTAAATTCTAATATTAGAGGAAGTTAATCAACACATATGGGATGACTATTTTCCAGTGGGTTGGAATGTGTGGCAGTATTAAAAATCACCATTAAATGCCCTCACAACGTCCATGCCCTTTGGCTGTGCACAGATTCCTAATGCAACAATAACATGTTATAAAGGGGACCGAGAAAACAATAAAACTCAACCCAAACTCACCTCACAATTTGTTCTGACACCGGCCTGTGAAATTTTGAGGGTAAATCCAATTTGGGCTTTACAGTGAAGCACTGAATATCTGAATTTCGAGGGTTAAGAAGTGAAAAGGGCATTTCAGTCACACAGAGCTAACAGCTCAACAGGAACACACGCACAAAAAAGGACAAAAACCAGTGCATTACACCTGTCAGGCCAGAAGTGCAACAGGTTGGCCATAAATCCATAAATCCTTGACCTGAGCTGCTGGATGCACTGGCTGTACTGGTTGTACTGGGTGTACAGCCCAAGGATACACTGGCCAGAGGAGGTTTTGATGTCATCTCCAGGGGGTGACGTTGTCTTCATCTTCTCGGCGTTGGGGAACTGCGTCAGCAGCCG